TCTGCCAGCATAGAGCCGGCGTCAAGATAATGTCGCAATGTCGCAGCATAGCAACAGCGTCCAAAGTCCACGCGTGAAGTCAGCATTCACGCAAGACCGAATGCCCTCCAGCCAGGAAGTCAACTCTTAAATAGCGTGGATGCGGGGTCTGGACCCCGGGTGCTGAAGTCCTGCACCGTCCAGATCTCGATACGAGTGAGGGCCCAGATTGGCCAGAAACTGTATTCCACCCGCCCTGAATGCTGTCTGGGTACCTGCACACAACAAGTGAATGTATCCGACCATAGGCCTGGGTGTGGTACCTTTGACTCTACAGTTGACTTTGACTGTTGAATTTCCTTTGTGCTGCGTTCGGTCACACAGCCTCCTCGACAGACTCAGGCTGGGCATGTCTCGGTCACATAGCCCAGCACAGACAACTGAGTCTGTGTCTTACCGGGGGCAATGTTCTGAGCCCTGGTCTGCTGCTGAACAGGGTTACTGCAGCGTGAGTGTCGAGCAGGTATACCGAGGTGACATCGGGAGGTACGGCCGCGGTCAACCGATGTTGAGCTGCAGGGATAGTACTTGTTCCTACTCGGTGTGTGTGCAGAGGTAGGAACCTATATCTATCGGGGGAGAAAAGAGACTGGTCTTTTTGATCGGCTGAAGAACTCAGGTGAGTTCACCCTCCTGAGGATTCCGCTGCTTGGGCGGATGAAACACATAGAGGGATACTACGTGGCTGTAGATGAGGAGAGTTACGATGATGGTAGCAGGAGAAGGAAGAAGTTGAGCGAGGGACTGAGACATGGAACTTTAATCTTCTTCTTGACTTTCTGAGTGTACGGTCCACGAGAGGTTGTGTTTATGTGCATGGCATCTCGTTCCTCTTCTTGACTTGCTCGCTACCACTGGACTTTGTGCTGATTTTGTCTTTGTGCTCCTCGTTCAGGCAGTGCTTGCTGTCTGCCTCTGCTGCCCGTTGTCTACGAAGTCTTGGATCCCCTTCCTGAACTTCTCGAGCTCATGTTATGACATCTTATGAATGGGACCCTTGGGAATCTTGCTGTCTGGCTATATCTTAATGTGATGGTTTTTTATTGGCCGTTCTACTATTCCCTTGGGCTCTACTATTCCCTTGGGCTCCTTCTGCACATCTGCAAATTCTATTAAAAGCTTATGAACTTGGGTTGGTACTATTTACCTCTTCCTTAGACTCACCCTCCTCTGCATTCTCTCTTTTGGAAGGCGTCACAGATGCTACATAGACTTGGTCTACCAACCTGTGTACCGAGTGAACGCAGGGGCACTCATGCGACACATGAACAGGGGAAATTTTAACCTGGAATGGTGATACTGGCTGACCACCTTTTCAGTTTGCTTTTCTTGTCTGGGCAGCCAGCACTGGACTCTGCCCATCTTCACATCTACCTTCATTGTCGTTCCCCAATCCATACCTGGAACCATATCAAAGGGTAGGTCCTCCTTCACTAGGGGTCAAAGAGTGTAACACTCTCTCAACTTTCTCGCAACCTTCCAACTGGAAGTATGCATTAATGCCCTCAAGGTACTATCCCATGCTCATCAGACTATTGTTAGCCATTCTCAAGACTGCTGGCTTGTCCAAATCTTGCATTTTCATTCCCAAGCGCAACTTCTTCATTCTTTTACGGGATACTTCTGCTGACCACACTAGCCATCAGGACACCTATGAGGGCCTTTACTACTTTCTACATTTGCAATCACTAGGTGCCCTGGTGTCTTCTTTTTGGTAGCTCACACTTCACAAAGAATGATCAGTTCGTTGCGTACGTTTGTTAGGGGACCACCCAAAGAGAACCTACACAAGTGACCTCTAGACTCTTCGA